AAAAAAAAATCTTTGAGAACTTTCCTTTATAGAGCGAAGATTTTTCGGTACCATTACCACGTCGTGAAGTCACTGGAGACGCTTCCGAAACCGCAATTTTGAAATATTGTGAGCTGATTCTTGGAGATGGTGGGACGAGAAAAATGCGCGAGAAAATGCCAAAAGTGGCTGAGATCCCATTCAATTCTACCAACAAATATCAAGTAAGACTTGACTAAAACTGCGACATGTTAATCATTTCTTAGATTTTTATGAAAAACTTAACAAGCGTTTAGGTATCAATTCATCAAAATGGAGATCGATTTTTGCTGGTCATGAAAGGTGCCGCTGAGAAAATACTGAAAGCCTGTTCGTCCACACTTATTGGAGGTGAAGAAGCAGCAAAAGACAAAAAGTTTGAAGAGGATTTTAAAAAGGTTTCCCTTTCTCTATTTGTACCGTTTGATGAATAGCTACCATGCAAATTTGCAGGCTTACGAACAACTTGGTGGATTTGGAGAGCGTGTGCTTGGCTTTTGCGACCTAGAATTGGATCCAGAAAAGTTTCCCAAAACGTTTGTTTTCAATACCGACACTCCGAATTTCCCACTAACAAGTCAGCATAGAATATGTAATTCTGGTATTTTGTGACAGTAACTTTATTTTTAGATTTGAGGTTTCTTGGATTCATGGCAATGATTGACCCACCACGTCCAGGAGTCCCGCAGGCCGTTCGCCTATGTCAGTCGGCCGGCATAACGGTAATTCTTGATTCTTCAATGCGCGATTGTTTGTAATAGTTCAGAACCGCTGCAGAAGTTTGCACCGATGAAAATGAGCGGCATGATTGAGAACAGTTGGCTTAAAAAATTGCGCGCAGCAACGCACACGAGCTCACAATATCACTGCAGATGGCATACCAAGAACCTCAACAGGAGCTCGTGCTCTGACAAGTCCCTTTGTACCCCCCTCCCCCCTTTCCTCTTATTTCTGATAAAGTGCGTCTTAAAGCAATATATTAATCGAGCTGAACTGCAAAGTGATGTTATCTTGGTGAACATTCTCAACAATAACTTTAAAAAGCAGTTAATGTGGAATAGGTTCCACTATGTCGAATGCATATCAGAGCAACGCGTTGTTTGGGGAGATAGTGATTGTGCAAAACCAGGGGTTGTGTATCGAATGGTATGTTTGAGCTGTAAAGCTGCGTACGTAGGAGGAAGAGTAGATTGCTAGCAATTAGGGTTAGGGAGCACCCGGCCAAAAAGATACTAAGAAATTTAGACTTGCCACTAAGTAGACGTAAGATTGAATATGTCACGATTATACAAGGCATTCGAAACTGAGACTTCAGCAAGAAAAATGCTAAAAGCAGCATGAATAATCGCTGGAAATCCGGTATGAGTAAAAAAAATGAATGCTTATTATATCTGGTGACCTCTCTCCTCTTTTATCGCCGCAAATAAAAGCCAGTATGCAGATGCATACTCAGTATGTAACGTATGTGCGTGCGGATGTCACTGAGTACAAAATAAAAACATCGGTCAATAAACATTTCACACTTACATATGGTGGAATAAGGTTGTTTCGATTTTGCGTTACCAACATGGATCTCATTCCTCTGTACCCCTGACAAGGTCTAGACTAGCCATAGACGAAGTAATTAAAACATCGGTAAACATTTAACCATAACAACCTATAATGCGTAATAAAGGCACGACGCAAATTTTCGATCTATGCCCTGGTTTAGGGAAAGAAAGAAGAAAGAACATGGCGATTCTTGATTACTTATTCTGTCTCACATTTTCTCTCAGTAAGGCTAAACCGAAGCAAAATTAGTAGCAGTAACCATAAATGGGCTTCTAAAAGACTGCGCGTCGGTGACATGATGAGCAATAGAAGCCCTAACACGAGCCATACTACCATCAGTCGAGGGTACGCGCCA